GTTTTTGCCATGGATATTTTGTGGGTCAGAAGACAAAAAGTTTGGGAACCACTGCTCTAGAACAATCTTTAAATTGACTTATATTTTAAATCTTTTGTAATAATTACAGGGAAAATATTCAGTGTGTAAGAAAATATGAAAACACTGAAAAACTATAATATTTCATTACCTGATAATGTATGTGTTATTAATGAAGGCTTAATGAATGTTGTATGGAAAAATGTGAAATACAAATGCAGTTCTGTGATCTTTTGATTGCATATAAATAGAAATTTAATCAGATTTTATGGTGTTCTTTATACTGTTTTTTAATATCTGAGAAAAAATGGCAATACATCACCTTGTTCACAATATATCATAATGTTGTAATGTGCACCATATTACCAAATTCTTGTCAGCAGGCCTTTATAAAATGGTATTAAYAAGAATTTACCTGGATTTCTGGAGAATATCGGAGTTGGACCCATAGACAAGTCTCAACTCCCGACTTTCGGGAGTCACTTCCCTTTGACCAAATGTTCAACTGGTACTAACAAAATCACAACTTACAGGAGAATTACAAACGTGTTATTCTTTGATGGAACACACACATACACAGGACAAAAACACTGACCGTTTCCATTCAGCGCCTCGCATATATCCTCAAACTGGCCGAAGGAAAAGCAAACTGTGAGTCACTGGATAGGCACGCCTCTGCACGCACACCGACACTAAATCCTACTCATATTTCTGCGCGCTCCTTTGAGCAAAGTCCAGTAAAAACGAGCGTTTCCTTCCTGGTTTCACAAGAACTTACCTGTGCCTACCCTGCCGCACCGAAAAACAGCAGCGACTCGCTTTAAATGTCAGTTAAATGAACCCGAGTAAAAAAATCCTGTTTTACAGTGCAGCACCGTCCTRAACKCAGCTGTCCGTGCGGCCGCRAGAACGYGCGTGTGCGCGCGTGTGTTCACACAGTCACACGTGTTTTCACTTAGGGATAACATCCAGCAAACAGAGACAGCAGTGATCCTAACCGCAAACAAACATCGCTGCTAACTTGGGAAACTTCACCTGTTGTGACGCGCTTCTTTCGRAACGCGCAGCGGAGATGTTGGGGCTCGTGCGCGCTCTCGAGCGTCAAAAACGGACACCGCGCTTCTCGTTGAAGTGACCCGGAGGGTTGGAGGAGCTTACCTGCGGGGGGTGGGGGTTAAAAGCCGGAGGACACTACCTCCGCCGGACCGGATTCAAAACAGCCATGAGCCTCTAGACGTTTTATTTTCAGCTGAGTGACTTTGGCACCTCCGAGTGTTTCCGTCGAGTTTTTTTTTTTTCTTTTTTCAGCTCCACGCCCATCACAGGACGGAGAGAGAGCGCGCGCGAGCCGGAACCTTTGATTACACCTAATAGTTGTCAACCGAAAGCCCTGTGGGCTCTTCTATTGCCTTATTGTTCCGGTTGTAACACTTACCGGCTGTCAAAATGCCCGTGGAAGAGTCTGAGACTTTTTTTTTTTTTCAGGTTGCAGAGAGAATGAAAAGGAAAGAAGTGTTTGGTGTTGATGAAGCAGCAGAGAGAAGAGGATGAAAAGTTTTGGCATGAGGGGAAATTCAACATGTTCCTGCTTGAGCCCAGAGCTCCGGGCCATGGATTTAAACATGGGCAAGGAATGCAGTTTGTTTCATTTTCACCCACAGCAGCTATTCTTCCTACTTTACATGGGAGGTTTTCTGTTGTATGTATAAGTTGGAAATACAGTATCACTATTTGTCAAAGGCAGGACCATGAGGTGCCAAGTGTTAAAGTGTTAAATCCAGTGGTGGGCAGCACTAATCTAAAAATGAGTTCCACTAGCCCTAAAACACTAACTCGAATATTCAGGTCCCCTAATTCTAAAGCACTAATGCACTGAAAAGATTTATTAAAAGCTATCACAACTCAGTCAAACCATGAACATTCAGACAACAAACAACATCACATGTTGTCATGTTTCTCTCTTAAGACTTATTCTTTCCACAGCTGGATTTGAGTTCCTATATTGTCAATATGTCACCTGGTGGATAAGTGACACACATATGAACAATATGGCTGTGTCCAAAACGACAGGCCGGGTCCTCCGGAGGACCCAGACTACCCGGTCTCGGCGGG